GTAGATGGATGGACATTTTCGCGATACATCATCGAGATCCCATAATGAGTTGTCCTCGTAATAATAACCTGGCTTGTGAACGAGGTAGATCGTAGACGATCACGAGACCCGCTCCACATTTTGATAGCCAATTTGTCGCAACCGCCGGACCGCGATTAATATTCAAGTTCCGCTGCCTGCTGGCAACGTTTCTCACGGTGACAGCTAGACGCAGCTTGCATATGCGACATCAGTGTGTGTGCGTGCGCGTATGTGTATACGTATGCGCGTGTGCAGGGTGTAATTATTTTTAATTGAAAGCGTCTCTTCCTCCCGGCATCGATACCTTCGCGCGATTATATCTGATTTCCTTCCGAACAGTGGACGTGTTCTTACATGAGAATATCGCGTTTCATGCCACTTCTATCGGTATCTTTGACAAATTCCTCCGTTGATGAGCGATCTGGTAAGCGGGCTACTTTTATCTCTTTAATTATTGCGTCATGTCTTTATTTCGTATCTACAGCAGATGGTGTCCAAATATATACATAACGAAAAAGGAAAATTATAAATAACTACAAGTTACATTTTTAGCTGTTTTCTTTTATCGTTTTATCATCGTAATTTCTTTCTACATTTATTTTATATTTCTAGTATCGATGCGACTCATTTCTTTCCCACACTTGTCAAAACATCATTCGTTTAGTTGATAAATTAAATTAGAGAAAGTGTTTCTCAGCCTCATTTTATTATTTTTTTTATACAAAGAAGAACACGAAAGTCCACGAAAGTGTACATACATGAAATCATCATCATATGAAATTTTTACACACTTGAATTCTATTGTTCTCATATCGGCGCAACTCATCTCTTTCCCACGCTTGTCAGAAAATTATTCGTTTAGTTGACAAATTAAATTGTAGTAAGTATTTCTCGGCTTTATCTTATTTTTTAATGCAAACAAGAACACGGAAATACCTGTTATTTTCATGTATATACCTGTCATTTTAAAACGTTTGAATTCTGTCATTCTCGTCTCGCTATGATAACCACAAGAAGGAAATGGTGCTGTTATATTCGCGTTTATATATGTTTTATTATTCGTATATATTCCATATTAATGGAGGATAATGATAAGTGACGTAACATGCGAAAAGTGGCAGGAAGGAAAAATGGGCGAGACGAGCAAAATGAACGAAAATATATCGTGGACTGACGACTGCTCGACGAATCGATTAAGATGTCAATATATGATCAGGACGACATCTCCGCGTCTATGATTATCGCGATTAGTTTCGACGGCGAATACACGACGATGCATTGACTCGCGCGGACGTCATTAGCCGGCGGGCGAGGCTGAGGACATAATTGACAATTAAAACAACTGGAAATGGGATTATAGTGTCGTCGCATCTGCTTATCTTTATGTTTTTCATTCGTAGTCAATAAAGGTAATAGTGCTTTTTATTCATGACGCCCGTAAATGTCAAGCGCGCCCCGTCAAATGTTAGCCGTCGCGAGGACAACCGCGTTCGAATTCATCGCAGAATGAGATTCTAACGTCAAATACACCGAAAAATGCGGTATTTCTCGCTCTTTTTTTTTTCTCTCTTTCGGTTTCTTTTTCTTTCTGACAAAGACGCGAGACGCGTCGATCGCAAAATTCTCGCGATGCACGCGGTAATTTCGCTCTCGAGCAAAAAAAGGCTCGTTAGCGTGTCAGAAGGCAACTCTGCGGTCGTATACGTGGCGGCGATTTATATCGTCGCCCCGACGTCGAGACGTAGGTGCTATAAAGTAGGTCATATATCTTTGCTACTGCGTGGTCTCCGCGTGGTCCCTAAACGAAGTTACTTCACGGCGGTGCTCACCACCGGGGCCCTTTTACGACCTATCGCCCTGCGAAAGTCCCCGACACGCTAATTAACCGACGGCCCAAGAGAGTTTTTGCAGCGCCGACCGCGGTATAAGTCACGTGAAGGCGAACCTGCGAAGATAAAAATGTACCAGAAAAGTTCCGGAACAGTTATTAATCAACCTGAAAATAGAGGCCGCGGCCTGACGATCGATCGATCGATCTTTCAGCACTCAATCTCCTTGGTCTGTACGAAAAAAAAATAACTCCGTTCGTATAACTGAATTTCTGTTGCCTGGAGATCAGACGATTCTTTTCCCGCAGCATGCAGCTCGAAATATATTTAATTGGGCTTGAACAGAGGTAATGATTAATACTTGAGCAGACAGGTGGTCGGAAAATGATTTCTGACTTACGCAGCATATTTCAGAAAAATCCGCGAGCTGCGATGGATAATAATTCGATAATTCCGCGATTTGCGTCAATCAAACGCAGGATGTTCGGAAAATTGAACGAAATCTGGAACGCGAGAAAAAAATAGCCGGTGCGATATCGAAGTGTATACGTGGTCTCCGAGACGTTCGATAATTTCATGACTTGCGCAATGAATCACGATCCGATTACGATCTCGTCGTGCACATCGGAGAAAAGACTTTCGCGCCGCTTTATTATCCTCCTCGCTCTTACGCCGCTACCATTGGCCGTGTCGTGAATTTTTGCCCGCCACGTAACTTGACGGACAAGTTGCCGAAGTAGAAATCTCATCGATAATTCCAGGCCGTCGTCCTTCTCTATTCAGCGGGGCTGACATTCCACGATCAAGATTCCTTTTGAAGAGAAAGAAAGAGAGACAGAGAGAGAGAGAGAGAGAGAAAGATAGGTCTTATCGGCGGTCTACTCTGACATTTCCGTGAACTACATGTCACGTGGAATGTAGAACGCGCGGAGATAAAAGAGATAGTTTTATATGCAAGCCGGGCCGGGTGTCATATTGAAATACGAGATCTCAGTTTCGATCGAGATGGTAGTTGCCGATGCGATGCGGCGTATTTCCGTCACCAAACTAACATCTGTATTTTTTTTTTCTCTTATTAAACCGGTATGAGAGTAGCGGGGTAGTCTTTCCGACAACGAGACTCGTACTTCAGCCCACTTTAGACGATTTATGATTCGCCACGGATATCACGGGATAGAATTCTATCGAGGAAGATAATCAAGACCAGAATTGCATTTGCAGATGTGCGTATGTGTGTTAAAATGTTCTCTGTTTTCATACACGGCATATAGCATTCCGTCCACAAATTTTATCGGGTTTGATACGTTATGATATTGGATTTTACATTTGGTACGTTTCGAATATTTCGCGAGAAAAGTCGACACGTGAGTTTCCTTTTTCAGCGCATTAAATATATTTATTTTTTCGTATAACTTAATAGATAAATACATATATATATATTTTTTGCGATTTTACGTATATTTCTTTTTAACATATCGATGTGCGAACGAGTTTATGATTTTCTAAAAATTCGAAAATTTCTTTAAATGAATAAATAATTAAGTAAATAAAATTACTTTTCCGAATACCGAAAAGACGACACGGCCAGGTGTCCAGGTGACGGGCCGCCTTTCGCAGCAATCTGGAGTAATTTCCAAATTGATATTCTCCCTCGAACCCGGTCGTTCTCCCCTAGCAGCAGCCCTACGAGCCTCCGAATGGCGCGAAGTCCGCGTCGGGGAGAATTCAGAATTTTCTCTTCGCGAACACGACGTTCCTCAAATCAACCGTCCTTGAAACTCGAGCTCCCAAATCGCGCGAGCCCGGACGTAATCGAATGAGCGGCATTTGCTGCGCGCCACTCCCAGCGGATTACGTGAGCGAGGCGGCCCCGTGCATTTCGATCCGCTGATGTATTACGTGTGTACCTGCACGTACACCTACATACGACGAGGGCGCTGGACCAGTCAAGCCGGTCCGGGCCACCTCTGTTCCTGGTTCCTGGTTCCCGGTTCCTGTGCTCCGCCCGCCACCACCCCGCCACGCGAAACTCAAGGCAATCCTCTTCCAAGCGGTATGCTACGGTCAATCCACCGCGATTTCACAACAACTCGAGAAGCGTCTCCCGCGATTGAGCCGCCCTTTTTCCGGATCGGATCGCCGTTTTGCGGGAACGGGTCGCTCTTCCCGAGACGAAGCTCAGATTCACGTCGTCCTTCGACAAGCTGGACACCTAAAGGTGCGTATTACATTTAACGAATGAAAGCAGCAAATGAACAAGCTTCCGTTGTTGTTACATTTTGGAAAATGTGTATGTTGCGACAAACCCCATCGGAACGTTCCGGTGGCCGATTAAGGGGTGGCTTGTCGGATAATTTTAAAGAAAGTTTGTCGTGCGCGTTCAGACGCGAACACTGTTCGCACGTTCACTGTTCGTTCATCGTTCATTCGTTCTAGGTGTTATGTAGGCAGCTTTACGCAACTTAAAGCAGCCGCCAAGTCGAACGAAATCGACGAAGTCTTCGGGAGTGGCGGAAGGAGGATCGGACGTCAAAGCGGACCTCTCGACCGCGCTCTCAATCACACATTACGCGCACCGTCTCGTCGCAGAGCATACTTCCGGCGGTCGGTTAACATTAACGTCAATCACAGCTGATCCCGCGGAGACGGGCGAAACGCGGGAGCGAAAGATCGGGCTTCCTCATCATCATCGTCGTCATCTTCAACTCACAGCTTCGAACGCGGCCGTGCTATGACGATGATCATAACATCATGCACTATTTACGCCTCGATCGGCGAATGTTTTGCTTAAGAGCAACAAGAGAGGAGAAGAAGAAGAGGAAGAACGAAGGAAAGAAGGCGAGGAAGATGTGGCAGAAGAACCTGTCGTACCACTCCGCGGCCGGAAAAGAAGAAAGAAGAAGGGACGGCGCGCGGCCGATGTCGTTACCGAACGGAAATGAGGTGATTCGAGAACGGCCGAGCCGCGCCGCGCGGAATATGTAACGTGTAACGAGGAGGAGGCCCACGTACGGCGCGGCCGATGATTGCGTATGTCCGATGATGGATCGCGCGCGGCTCCGCCGGTGATTACATGCAAAAGAGGCCGGAGGAAAATTCTGCGTGTCGTTCGTTCGGTTTCCGGCCTGCCTCCCTGCCTGCTTGTCTGCCTGCCCACCTACGGTTCCCATAATGATATCGATAACGACGTCGAATATGCGCCTAAAAAGCGCGCGCCGCGGCGAACACGTTCGCCAGGGCGGAGGCCAGCTGCTGATTACACCTCATCGCGGATGGATCGTTTCTCTCTTTCTGCCTGATCGGGGCCAAGTATTATACGGCGAGTGGAAGTGGCCACGGCATGTGAGCTCTCCCGGGCCACCTACCGCTCAATGTAATAATATTGACAGCGATCGGCAGAAGCGGCGGGTAAGTAAGCAAATATAAAGTACGCTGAAAAGCCAGCCTTCTCCTGGAACGCGCTTCGGGATCGAAAGCTGGAGAGAAGGAGGCTGTTGCACGAACTAACGGCGACTATTAGCGGCATGCGTCGATTTAACGGACGACCGGTGAGCGGGATCTTCGCGAGGATCAGTTCTGTCGTGCCCGGATTATGTCTGAATGTCGGGGGGGAGGAGGGCAGGTGTGTACGGGCCTTCTCGATATATATCTGATCGTAGACGCAGCAATGTCAATGTTCGATCCATTTTGACTGTGTTTCGCTCCCCTAATTAGCTGTTATTGCGCGCTTACACACAGGATATCGAAAACATTGTATCAAGATGAAGAAGAAGAAAGTTAAGCTCCTTCGAGATGATAATTTAGATGTTCCATAAAGTTTCTAATAATCAAGCAACACTGCAGCTTTGTTTAAAACGAAGGAACCAACATTTATCGGAATATCACGCGATGAGAGTTATTATTATTAGGTATATTTGATTATAGATTTAATAATGTAAGCGTTCGATCCGTCTTGAGAATGTTTTGAAGATCTCTAATTAATCGTTACATGCTTAGGCGAGGTTTCGAGAAAATCATATCGAGATGAGAAGGAAGAGGTAAATCTCTTTTAAAATGGTAATTTGACGTCCCACGTATTAATGCTTCTAATAATCATAATGGCTAACAACGTTACGACTTCATTTAATACGAGGGGATTAACATTCGTTGGGGTATCGCGCGACATGATATATTACCGACATATATGTTTATTATCATTTCAAGATTAGACGTTATGAACTTGATGTATTCGTGTCAGTAATGCCATCGCAATTTATATTTCAGCACATCAAGCACCGTTTAAGAAGACGATCATCACAATATTCGAACAAGAAAGCGCAAGTTCTCAATCGCCAGTTAATTTTGACAACTCGGAATAAATGAAGATACATTGTCGAAGAAGATTTATAAATTAACTTTTATAATTTATAAGTAAATTTGTAAAAAAACTTTTTATGAACTCTGACGATCTATCGAGAGAATATTTCGACATATGTGCAATGAAAAATATTATCTCTTATGAAAAGGCTTCGCTGTAATACTTATTGCAATATCTAAAAAATGTACATTAAATGTATAATTTGATTACGGAGTTCGTTATAATTTAAAGAAAAAAACAAGCAAGAGCATCCCGTCGAGCACCGAGAGAGGTGTAGCCGATTGCCGACGGATCTATACATTTTAGGCCTACGAGGTATCCGTACACGTTAAGGTGCATGCTCAGGAACATTGTTGATTGCAAAATCCGAATTGCCTTCTCATTATTGTGCCACATAACATTCTTCACTTATCATTTAATCGAATCATCTGAATGTTCAGTGCGGATTGAGAATGCAATTTTGCGTTGAACCGGCGACCTCTGCACGCCGTACGCATAGTTCGCGAGTCGAATAAATTCTCGAAGGACGTAAATTAATAATAAATAAAAAATAACGATCGCGTGCGTTGAGGAAGGACGTTAAAACGAACGATAAACATTAACTCAACAATCCTAATCATAAGTAACAAGAAAGAAAAACGGAGGCAATTTGAAGCATGACTGTGGTTTGATTTATTTACGAATTTTGCTAATTTACGAACATATATCATGAAAATGTATCATTAAATGAAATTTATATCTCGTACGAGCATATAAGAGTTCTAATTAACGTAGTTGGAATATTTTACAACGTCTAATAATACAATGCATATAAAAATCCTCACAGCAACATGTATGCGCTGAAAAAATATTGAACACTTCCTTCCCGAATCGAAATTTTAAATTCTACGCTGGCCTTCAAGTAGAGAAAACAGAAATAAGTTCTTACTTGCAGCATCAAAGGAGCAATAAGTCGGAGGGGAATTCAGTCCTTCAGAGTCTAAATTTTAGTTCTACATTAAATCTTCAAGTGGGAAAAACGACAATAACTTCTCCATTTGTAACATCAAAAGAGCACAGCAGACGACCTTCGAATTTACTTGATGTAGAATTCAATTAGATTTAAACTAGGGCTAAAATTTCGAGACTCAGCTTCTCCCGAGTACAGAATTTCGCGAAGGTAAAATTTCGCACAGCTGCCGGCATCGTATAGTACCAGCGAGCAAAAATCGACGTAATACACTTGGTTTATCACGAGATACAAATAGTAAGCGTCCCGTGGGCATTTTTATACGGCCGATCCTCTGCATAATATAATTGTAAAATATGATCACGATAAACCTACAGAACACACGTTGCTATCCCGCGGATATCGGGGAGAGACCATTCGATGCACACACGAAGCGCTAAACGCTCCATCGATTTTCAATTACGCGTGTCGCATTGACGCATAATACACGAGTCGAACGAAATGCCGCGCGTATGCACGTAAGTTTCCATGAAATATTTAATAAACTACGAATCGCGTGCTCTCTCTCTTTCTCTTCTTCAAAGTGTGGAGGAGAGCGAGGAGGGGGAGAAATTGTCGTCGGAGGTGGATGCGAATGTCTCGCTCGTGGTAACTGTATTTCAACAATAAGCCGAGTCTCCGCAGATAAACGGGACGATAGTAACGAACGATATGCAGTTACACCGCTATGAGGAGAGGAGAGGAGGAAGGAGGGAGCTAAATTATCGCAACGTGTCCGGCGTTATCATTTTGCATCGCGTTATCTATTACGCCATTGTGAGCGGGCGTGGGTTGGCCGGCAGGTCCTCCCCGCTAAATCGGCCCGTTATCCAATATAGGAATTATTATCGCGACTGTTGTGTGGTCCGACGCGAGAGCAATTTCGCCGGGGGGGAGGGAATGTAGGAAGCGTTTCAAAACGTCTCTCCAGAGAGACAAGTAACGCGATTCTCCTTCTTTCTCCCTCTCGCTCTCGTTTCGTGGCATATTTGTTCTTACTCGAACTTTCCACGAACTTTGATCGCGATGCGCATTCGACGCGATATTACGGTTACCTACCGTAGTTGAGTTTCCTCTTTCTTCGGCAAAGACGAACGAATGCAACGAGCATTGAGTAAAAAGCGTTGGATATTTGTGACTCTACAGTCATGTAATAAAAGAATTATAGTCAAGAGAATCGTTTCTCTTTATTAAGTGTTACTATCTCTAGTACAAATTGAACCTCGTGGGTGTCCAGCCACGAGGTAGTCAATTTATGTCTAACGTTGCTAGTAGCCAGTAATAATGCAACGCTACTAGCCGGTAATCTCGGTTCTCCTAGTAACAACGCGTATACTAAGCCCAAAGAAACAACCCATTTTTCTCTGTATAATTTCAGCGTGATTAATCTTCTCACTCTCAACGAGGAAGCATTTCGAGTGGTAATCGTGCTTGAGATATCATTGGGCGCGGGACGTTTCGATATTCCGCGATTACAGACGCATCGGGGACGCATCGCACGGCGAAGCACGAATTTCATTTAACCGTGTATTTTCGCCGATCTCGCGTTATCTCGTCGATTTCAACGCAAGCATCGCGCGTCCGTCCCGAGACTCGCGTCGAGCCGGCCGACCGAGCCCAAGGAGGAGACGTTGCCAAATCCAGAAGGATGTCCGAGGGCTGAGGCGCAATTAATTAGTACGATATATCGTCAAATTACACGTTTGCCGCTGCACACCGGCGATACCGACGTATCTCTATATTTCACGACGAACGCGCCGTATACCCGACACCTATGGCCGCCGCGGCCGAAAGTGCGCCCTCTCATTATAAAGTAGCCCCACTTATCTCGATTACGTTCTCTCACTCTCTCCTCTTTACCCTTTTCTTTTTAATCGGACATTAACCGATCGATCGGCACGCACAAATCGAGCGTACACCTTGCGAGACTCGCCTTTTCTCTCCCCTTCTCTCTCTCTCTCTCTCTCTTTCTCTATCTCGTTCCGTCTCCTCTCTTTCTCCCGCAACACGATAATATGTTTAATCAACGACGTAGATTAACGACCATCGCTGCTCGGTCCCTTCTGGGATTACTGATTTACGATTATGTACATTCCAGTGATTTTTTATACACGTGTATCCCGTGTAGTCACCACGCGGGAGGAACTTGTATAATGGCGAGCCGATTTTCAACGATACGAGAAATTCGTGCGGGGGAGGGGGATATAATGCAGCTGGATTCATAAATAACTTCCCTCTCTCTCTCTCTCTTTCTCCTTCTCCCTCCGTAGATTTATTTTCGTACGAAATGATTCTTACAGCGAAGTCCAACCCGAAATATATATATACACTTATTATTAACGATCAGTGTTTCCAATTAATGGACAGCTCGCCGATTCTAGCAGCAAGTGTTCGGAAAAGATAGATATTCGCCGTACACGTCGAAAGTAACTTACGGCTCGACCCGGCGCACTGCAATTTTCTTCGATTCCCCCCGTTTTCGCCGTCCAATAATCTCGCCGCTCCGGCTATCGCGGACGGGGGAAAAAAAGGCAGTCGAATCTAAATCCCTCGTTATGAGAAATAGCGGGGAAATAACGGGGTCGTCGCTAATCTCGGAAAAGAGAGCTCTCGCGTTATGACTCGCGCCGTGAGCTTTGCAATCGCACGCGCTCGCTCGCTCGTGTGTGGGAAAAATCGCGCTCTACGCCGCGCGCGCGCACGCTAATCGGATAAAATCGCGAGCACGTAGCGATTTCTCTCGCGCGACCGGCAGAATATTCTTCGACGAGACGCTTCTAGGAGTCGCGGATTCGACGAAAGAGGCCTCGCCAGGGGAGAATGGGTAGGAAAAAGAGAGAGAAAGGGAGAGAGAAAGAGACTCGGCGAAAGAATGCAACAATGTCGACCGGATGGTTCGCGCGTGACAGGCGGGCCGGCGATCCGAGTAAGGAAGTTTCTTAACGGCACGTACGTGCCGACATACGCTCACGTACGTGGTTCGTGGCCGCCGGCGTGTATCGGAGTACCCAGTACGTGTGCGGTATCCGACCCGAATACACACCTCTCTCTCTCTCTCTCTCCCGCCGATTCGAATTTCACCCGTATACACGCGCGGGCCGTAACTAAAACGGCCGACCGCCGCGGAACTTGGCGTACGTATTCCACTCTCGAGTCTCCCGAGGCGCTCGCGCTCCCGCTAATTGTAGCCGTATTATTTACGGATCGACAATGAGTGATATATCGAGGCTCTCAGATATTCAATATCGCCGAGAGATATTCGGGCCAACGGGAGAACCCTCGGCTCGACGCGGTAACGCGGCCGCTAATTACCGCCCCGCGTGCGTTCGAGATCCGAAAACTCTCCTCGGCACGTGTGATATACTCCGACGTTATTACCCCTCTGTCGAAATAATAATTCGCGGCTATAATCAAAATAATAATAAAAGAAAATGCTTGATGGTAAAAATAATACCACGGGGGAAAGTAATTCCTGTCGTTGCGGCGACGCTGTCGTTGCTACCGCACGTTCGTTGCGATAAAATTTCGTCGGTGTGAGCGAGTTAGCGAATTATTCGTAATCAGAGTAGAATCACTTTTGTCGCCGGGATGGAAAATATCCCGCTAAGTGAGTTTGTATTTAAGACGCGATGATTCGCTGTCAAAACAGTATTTTTCTATATTTACTCATTCGTTCTCGCAGCAAAATAATTCGCTGTGCCGGTGAGAAATTCTCCCCCGCGTTGCTTTCAACAACGTTCGTATGGCACTCGACGGCGAGAATTCGGTCGTAACGAAAATCTCTCGGTGTCTCGCCGGATACTGCGTGACACTTTCTCAAATTACTTTAGCACGTGGATACCTCGCGCAAAATATTAGCTCTCTCAAGCCGGCGGAACCTCAGATCAGCGAGATCGCGGCACGAGCGGCGTCTGATGAAGCGAGTGTCGCGACAACCGCAAATAACGTGATACGAGGTGAGCACGCCTTCGTATCTGAATCCGTCAGCGTGAATAACGAGCGTAGGAACCACCGTGAGTTTTCGCATACATCAGCGAAGCGCGCCGCTGTGGGGCAGTTTCTCCTCGGAATATCCATTTCTATTAGAGATTCTTGTTAGCACATGCGAGAGAAACACGCGCATCACGTACGCTCGCGGCACGAAAG